ACACACACACACACACACACACGCGCGCACACACACACACACGCGCGCGCACACACACACACACGCACACACACGCACACACACACACGCACACACACGCACAAACGCAGACACTCACACACTCACACACACACACACGCACACGAACACGCCCAAGAACGCACGCACGCACACACGCGTGCACGCGCGCACACGCAAGCACGCATGAACGTGGGGGTCCACACCAGAGATGCTACACGCTCCTATTGGGTTCCACATACGCACACACACCAACAAACACATACATACAGCACAACACACGCGCACACGCATACAGAGCACACACACACACACGCACACACGCATTTCAACGCACACGGGTATCAGTCAATATCTACATGCTTGTGCAAATACCTGTAAAATAAGCACATTCGGGTCAACATGAATGGGGATCCTGGAACCTTGGGTTCCACACACGTGCGCGTGACGTCCCACACGCAGGAGTCTCCACACACCCACGAACACAGACAATTATGGCCAGAGCGCAGCATTCCCAAACAGAGGACTCTGAAATCTATGAGGGTGTCCAAGGTCGATTGCCTCCCGGTCCAGTGCGGGATGGCATGACGTGTTGGAGCGTGACAACATGATGTTTGCCGATTGGCAGTTCGCACAAAAGCTTGTGTGATGCATGGCTCTCAGGAAGCCATCGCTTGAGGGTCTCGCACGTCTCGAAACAAACATCGTGACGTCGGATGTCTGAGGAGGGCAGAAGGCAGGGTGCGCACGGCGGCATCTCGGAGCTTCGCATTGTGAGGATGGCTCGGGAGAAACGGGCTGGACCACCTCGCGAGCTGTATCTCGGAGCTCAATATTGCTACAATGTCCCAAGCGAAACGGGTCGATCTACCTCTCTCTTCCCGTTGGGTCCTCTCATGCAACTCCCTTTCTCCTCCCTTCTCCTCCTCCTCCTCCTCCTTCTTCTCCTCCTGCCTGCTCCCTCCTCCTCCTCCTCCTCCTCCTCCTCCTCTTTCCTCGTCCTCCTCCTCCCTTCCATCTCCTCATTGTCCTCTTACTCCTCCACCTCCGTTTCCTCCCGAACGGCATCTGGGAGCTCAGAGTTTCGAACATGTCCAAAGCGAACGGGGCTGGAACACCTCTCGCGCGGCATCTCGGAGCCCAGAGTTGCGAGGAAGGCTCAGGAGAAACGTGCCGGACCACCTCGCGAGCGGCATCTCGGAGCTTAGAGTTTCGAGGATCTCTCAAGCAAAATGGGCCGGACCACCTCTCGCGCGGAATATCGGGGCCCAGAATTGGGAGGATGTCTCAGGCGAAACGGGTCAAACCTCTTCGCGCGCAGACTCTCTCAGTTCCGAGTTTGGAGGATGTCTCTGGCGAAATGGGCCGGACCACCTCTCGCACGGCAGCTCAGAGCGCCGATTTGCGAGGATGTCTCAAGCGAAACGGGCCGTACCACCCTTCGCACGGCATCTCTGAGCCCCGAGTTGCGAGGATGTTACAGGCGAAACGAGCCTGATCACCTCTTGCGCGGCATCTCGGAGCCCAGAGATGACCACCTCTCGCGCGGCATCTCGGAGCTTAGAGTTTCGAGGATGTCTCAGGCGAAACGGCCCGGACCACCTCTCGCGCGGCATATCGGGGCCCAGAATTGGGAGGATGTCTCAGGCGAAACGGCCAGCCCGGGCCAACTCAGAAACGAGAGTTGTGAGGATGTCTCAAGCGAAACGGCCCGGACCACCAGATGTTTTGAGGATGTCTCGACTTTGCTTTCCCTCGGCCAGAACTAGCTTCTACCACAACAGCACCCCGCTCAGCAAGTTGGCTGCGGAAATAAGCACCGTGTCTCATATTTGCTGCGTGAATGGACTGTTTGGCCCCACACGATAGCATCATGCTCTAGTGAGGTTATGTGGTAGTTCGGTAAGGAAGTGGACGTAGGTAGACAAAAACATAAAGACCTTCAGTCAACCAGGTAAAAATACATCGGCATTCTGAAAACGTCGTGGTTGGATGGAATTCAATCGTCTTGCATTGGCAGGGGCCGCATCCTGTCCAGTGAACCGAATAAACCCGTGTTATTATTGTATGCCCGAATCTCAGAATGCTGACGATTTTATATCAAAACATAAAATCCCGGATTTTGACATCCCAGGGCCAGCTCATCCGGGGCCGGAGCACCGCCATCGCAAGGCCATCCCCTCGGCAGCGCCCGTCGTCGCCGGAGGGTCTGTTAACGCTCCAGAGTGGCACAGTGCGTCTCGCCTGCCAGCCACGACTCTGGTTGTGGTTACAAGTGTTTATGTACGGCACGGACCCACTGGGACGAGACGACAACGAGGATCGGCTGGTTAAGCCTCCGCCACCAGTTCTGTCAATGGCTCATCTGTTCAAAGCAGAGGCGACTCGACTGGTGTCGTGGCAGCTCGCCGAGGGAAAAGACTGCACCGATGGCTCACCCGAAGAAAGGGGGATGAGGAGCTTGAGGACGAGGCGCGGTAGAGGGTGGGGCTCCTCACTCCCCCACCCCACTGCTCCTCCGTACTCCTCCATCTCCTACTCGTCATCTTCCTCCGCACCCCTCCATCTTTCATTCCTCCTTCCTCGCTCCACCTCCTGCGTGACTCCTCCTCGTCCTTCTCCCCCCTCCTCCTCTCCTGCAGAGGAGAAAAGAGAAGACAAAGAAGCAGAGACTGGGACGAAAACGACGAGCGCACGCCCGACGAATGACGACGACGGCGGCGGCGACGACGACCAACAGACGACGACGAACTGCGAATGACGACGGTGAAAAAAACTCCCACATCGGCGACGCCCGACGAAAAACCACGACCGACCGACGACCGACCGACGACATCGACGACGACCGACGACCGACGACCGACGACCGAGGGCCGACGGCCGACGACCGACGGCCGACGGCGCTCCGCGCGGCGCTCCGCGGCCGGCGTGGCTCTCCACGCGGCGCTCCGCGGGGGCGCGGGGGCCGCCTCACGCCGCCGCTGGAGCGGCCACGTCCTCCGCGGGCGGGTCGATCGTCGGCCGTCGGACAGCGTTCTGGTCGTCCATCGGTCTTTCGTCGTCCTTCGGTCGTCGGTCGTCTGTCGTCGGCCGCCGGTCGTGTGACGTCCGTCGTCCGTCGTCTGTCGGTCGGTCGGTCGGTCGGTCAGTCGGTCATCCTTCCCCCGTCGTCGTCGTCGTCGCCCGTCGCATCCTGCTCAGGTCGAGAGAAGGGAAGCCGCGGGCGGCACGTGAGCAACAGCAACTGCACAAGCACACCCCAAATTCCGGCCGGCTTTTATACCCGACCTCGGTTGGAACCACGATGTGTAACCCGCTCTCTGCGCCGAGGTCGGCCGCGGGGTTGCTGCTGCTGCTGCTGCGTGCCCTAAACGGCTCTTGGCACACCTGGCATGGGTACGAAAAAATGGCTGTGATTGCACCAGCACGAGTCCGAGCCTCATATACATAAAGAAAGTGTGATGAGGCAGTTGCCAACACCAAAGCCGATCGCCATCTCGATGAATACGAGGAGCGGGCTGTGCCAAGCACTAACATCAGAACGCGTCATGCCAGAGAAACCCCATGTTGCAGGCACACTCCGGAGACGAGAACGAAGAAGCGCGGCTTCTCACACGGTAAAGGCTGCGGTGAAAACGGCATCCGCTTCAACTGTAAATTTGAGAACACATCAATATACAAATGCCTCGCGCCGCCACCGTACCTGCGTGCCAGAATGCTGCGAAACCCGGATGGGAGAGCATATGGGCAACCGGCAAAACCCTGGCCGAACATGTAGCAGACAACCACGACCACCATGAAGACCGCCGCGCCTGAGAATACAGGACCTCGTCAGGGAAGCAACCCAAAGCAATTGCAGTAAGGAGCCTGCAGACGACCGCCACGGATGCCGAAAATGAGGAAGGCAGCAAGAACCGCCAAGAGGTCGCGCGCCCAGCAACTTTGGAAACACCCACGCCGACAACAAGCCAGCGCGGTGGAGCGTCCAGTCCCCAGAGGTACAACCTTTACCGCGAGAAGAGAGGCATGCTCCCACCAGGCGACTAACGGGCTGTCACGAGATCGAAGAAACTAAAGTGAGCACGGCAAGTGCTGTACAACCCTTGAATCATCAGCGGGCCGAACGAGCATTGAGCCAAGCAAGCTCGAGCCGAGATGGTGCTTGAGGAGGGGGAAGATGAGAGGAGGAGGAGGAGGAGGAGGGAGAGGAGGAGGAGGAGGAGGAGGAGGAGGAAGAGGAGGAGCAGGAGGAGGAGGAAGAGGAGCAGGAGCGTGCACTCCGTTCACGGAGTCTTCCTTTCTGATCCTATCCGGCGCTTTGCGGAACTGCAACCAGAGCACGTTGAAGAAGCTGACGCGCAACGGCAGAGAGGAGAAGGAGGAGGAGGAGGAGGAGGAGGAGGTGGAGGAGGAGGAGGAACAGGTTGAGAAAGGTGGGAAGGAGGAGGAGGAGGAATCAGAAGAAGTAGAGGGGGGCGGGGGCCTTCGGCACACGGGTGATCGCAGACTTCGCCGTCGCTACCGTCGCCGTCGCCCACGCCGCCGCTGCCGCCGCAGCCGTCGTTGAAGTCGCCACTGGCGTCGCTGGCGTCGCCGTCGCTGGGGCCTGCACGGGAGCGCCGACGATCCGCGTCTGGCCCCACTGCGTGCGCCACCTCCGTTGGTAGGCGCGGAGCTGCAACTCCTACTTCTCCTCCTCCTCTTTCTCATCATCATCAGCATCATCACCCTCAGCATCACCATCATCATCATCATCATCATCATCATCATCATCATCATCATCATCATCATCATCATCATCATCATCATCATCATCATCATCACCATCACCATCACCATCACCATCACCATCACCATCATCATCATCATCATCATCATCATCACCACCACCACCATCATCATCATCATACTCATCAGCATCAACATAATCATCAGCATCCGCATCAGCATCATCATCAGCATCAGCAGCATGACCAACATCATCATCAGCAGCAGCAGCAGCATCATCATTATCATCATAATCATCATCATCAGCATCACCATCATCAGCATCATCATCATCATCATCAGCATCATTCTCATTATCATCCGCA